AAAAAAAAAAAGATGTTGTCAGATCTAAACATAAAAATTACTCTTTAAAGATTTTTCTATTAGAACATATTATTCTAGAAGTGGCTGAATTTAGAAACAATATTTAAATTTTAATTTCTTTTTATTTTAGAAAAATGCTGACCCTGGTGTAGTAGACAAATCATCTCTTCGTAAACAGCGCTTCATGCAATTTTCGTCACTAGAACATGAAGGAGAATATTATATGACACCACGAGACTTCCTCTTTTCAGTAATGTTTGAGCAAGTAGAACGTGAGTTGGTCTTGTTTTTAAGTTAAAAAAAAATCAAACTTTAGGGTTAAAAGCCTAATTTTAAAGATTGTTAATAGTTTTTCATTTTTATTATCATCTTCTTTGGAGGAGGTAAGCTACCAGGTAATAAGCCTTTTTATAAAGCTATGGTAATTTAAGATCAAATTGTACCACCAAAAGGATAGATAGATTGACTAGTGGAACAGAATAGAGAGCCCTGAACTATATGAGCATAGATGAAACTTTACACTTGATCTTAGCCAAAAGGCCGAGAAGCGATATAGATGAAACTTTGATGTATGTTAAAGGTGGCATTGTAAATCAGTGGGGAAAAGAGGGCCTATTCAATAAATGGTACTAGTCATATTGAAAAAAGCTATACTTTCAAAATTTCAAAGATTAAAAAATCTTTCTCCTTGGGTTCAGGAAATATTTTCCTAAACAAGATACAGAAAGTACTAACATAAAATATTGATGAAATTCAGCTATATTACAATTATAATTTCTATTTATCAAAAGTTGCCTTAGCCAGAGCACCAACCTGTAGTCCTAGCCACTCAAGAAGCTGAGACAGGAGAATCATTTGAGCCCAGGAGTTTGAGGTTGTAGTACACCATTACTGTGCCTGCAAATAGCCACTGCAGTCTAGCCAGGGCAACACAGTGAGACCTCATTTCCAAAAAAGTAAAAAAATTGAGAAAACAACCCCAAAACTGGCAAAATGTATTTCAACATGTATATTTGATAAGACTAAATATTTATAGAGTATATGCAAAAGGTACAAATCAATAAGAAAAAGATAGGCAATCCAGACAAAAAAATGGGCAAAAGAAATGGGCATTCACAGAAGAGGAAACATATAAAAGCAAAGAAATAAGAGCCTTTATTAGTGACTAAGATAAGATATGATTGTTATACCTATTTGAGTAGCACCAGTTATATCGGTTAATAACAAAAGTTAAAGAAGATGAAGATAAGGGAGGACTTTTATATATTGTTAGTTGAAAATGTCAGTTCAAACCACTACTTTGGAAAACAAAATTTGGACTTCTGACCTACATGACTTCTGACCTACAAATCCCATTCCTGTGTATGCTACATGCCCAACAGGAACACTGCCCATACACATATGTATATGTATGGATATATGTATGAGAATTGCTTATGGTAGCAGTGTAACATTAATGAAAAAGCTGGAAACAACCCAAATGTCCATTACTAAGAGAATAGATAAATAAATTGTGGTATCATATATTCATACAGTGGAATTTTACTTATTAAAAATGAACAAATTCAGCTTTCATCATGAAGCATGAATAGCTCCGTGGGCCTACTTCCAACAAAACTAGTGAAAATCTCCAAAGAATATCCTTTCAAGTCTCTGGAAATAGTCCTGAGGTTATACAGAAAATTAAGAAACATCTGTTTAAGAAAACCTAAAATTGGATAAGAAAAATGAGAGTCTAGGGTATGTGAACTAAGAACCCCCTCCTCCTTGCTACCTAGTATCCCATCTTCTTGAGATGAAAACTCATTCCAGACTGAAGCAGCCAAGATCCCCATACCTCCTAGTTAGAGGGCTTTCTTCCAAGGAGGAACAGGGCATCGGCATTCTCATCCTGCCCCCAGCGACTTGTTGCTGAGGCCAAGTTCTGGGGAGTGTGGCTGAGAGGGCCTATCTTCCTTCCATTCTAGCCCTCACTTTTGAGATGGAGGCTCTATGTTGAACTCTGTGCTCAAGAATACTGAGAATCCTGGATCCCTGAGTGCTCTATCCCAGCTCTATCCCACTGTAAAACAGTGGTTTCACACTGGGAGGGGCAAGTCAAGAAGACCTATAGTTATTGCCACACTTCTAGAGTAGAGGTGTCACTGCATACTTAGAGAGGTATGCCATTGCCTCCACTCCCAGCCCCACAGAGGCCTGGCCCAGAGATTTCTGCAGGGGTATGAGGGTGGCTAAAGCAGGTAAAACAAATAAACAAATAGCTCTTTCTTCTCTTCCCAAAGAAACTGACTTCATTTTAAACAGAAAATGAAGAAGTATAGGCCTAATGGATAATCTCAAAAACAGGTGGGACAGTTGTGGTAAAAGGTAATTGGGAGGACATTGACAGATTCAGTAACAATAAAAAGACAAATTGTAGGCTGGTACTTTGCAGAAGAGAACTGGGGAAATAACTGTAAGGAGCCCTCTGGAAATGATAACAAATATTAAACACTGATCCTTCGAAAGGACCCTAAATTTGATTGGATCATCTCTAGAGCAGTTTATGTCCCAGGTCACAGAAACTGCTTGTGATTGCAACCAGATCTTCCAAGTAAGCAGCAAAATACTTCAGAATAACCATGTTCAGAGAACTAAAGTAAACTATGATTAAAGATTACAACATTTTCGCTTTTATTATTCATTGGAATGCAATTAAACTATCTGAAGGCATTTAGCTAAATCAAGAATTCAGTAATTTTGCAGGCCAAATAATACATCCTTTATACATATGATGTACTTCATCTTCATTTTTCATCATGGATAAGAAGAATAATAATCTTGGTTGCATTCCTACAGATCATGGTGAACTGCAAAACAAGGGAAAACAGGGCCAACCCACTGACCCAAGAAAGACATAAAACAATCTAGGATTTATTAGATTCCAAACTCATTTTTACCTGTTTTTTACCTTTTGGCATTTTTTGCAAATAATCACACCTTATTAATAGTAGTAGCTGAGGCTCATGTAAACACTCTCCTCATGCCTCTTTAAACCCTCTCCCTTGTGCTGTGGCATGCTTGGGGGTGCCATCCTCAACCTCCAGTGTACACTCTAAAAACCATAGGGCATGTTTCTTTGAGACTTGGATTATCTAGCCGAAACACCATTTTCCCGTCTTTAAGTTCTTTTCTACTAAATTCCTTTAGCCTTACAGTTCTTTAGTTCTCAATTCAGTGACTTTTATTCTTACCATTCTCTTCCTATATCCATTACCCGGAATTGCTCAAGTTTTTAAATCTCAAATTTCAGAATCATACTCTCTGACAACAACGTATTCTACCTTCCACATTACCTACTATTTAATCCAATACTCTGGTCTCATAAAAGCTTCTAGTCTCAACTATTCCATTATTCCCAAGCTCATCACTCCTTTTGGATCTTCTTCCTTCCTTTTAGCTACAGGGTTTGTCATTGTGTCACTCATTAATAACTACTTGCAGATATCTTTCTCCTTTGTTTTTGTTGTTGAACTTAGCCTCCTATGAACTGTTGGAGAAAATCATAGAATTTTACAGATCATAGCTACCAAATTTATAGTCTTCAACTTCAGCTAGATTCTCAAAATCATTTTATACGTTCATTGGCTTTCTCCCATTCCTTTATTAGCTTTTCTGAACTTCTGCTTTTTTCTGTTTCTTGTATCACATCCTTTTATTTTTTTTTTTATTGTTGCAAATTCATTCAGGGTACAAAGAACCAGGTTACACTGATTGCATAAAGTTAGGTAAAGTTCCTCTTATAACATCTTTCCTTTTATGATATGATTTTACCTATTTTTATTTATTTATTTTATTTATTTGTAGAGACAGTCTCACTCTATCACCCTCGGTAGAGTGCCGTGGCATCACACAGATCACAGCAACCTTCAATTCCTGGGCCTAGGCGGTTCTCCTGCCTCACCCTCCCAAGTAGCTACAGGCGCCCTCCACAACGCCCTGCTATATTTTTGTTGCAGTTTGGCCGGGGCCAGGCTTGAACCCACCACCTTTGGTAAATGGGGCTGGCACCCCACCCACTGAGCACAGACACTGCCCAACGTTACCTATTTTTAATTTTGCAAATTAAGGCCATAAGCCAACGAGTTCTTCAGATCCCTCTCTCATTGCCTGAGAACTTGCCTACATCCTCTCCTGACCTTTCTAATTGGAATAGTGTTCCTTACCCTGCAGAAGCTAATTCTGTCACCCTCTCACCTAGTTCCATCCTTCTTTTTCTCTCTACTGTCTCATTCTTTGAAACTTAGAGGTAGTCTCATTCTTTGTTATCTTGAGAAATCCTTAAACATTAGAGATGTAAATTAAAGAGTCTTCAGTATGTAAGTGCTATTTAAAGCTAAGATAATTCATGAGATCTCGAAGTTGAGTTTAGATAGCAAAGATAAAGGACTGGGGCTTGAGATATTCTAGTACTTGGAGATTGGAGATTTGAGGATAACCCAGAGGAAAGTGAGAGGGATTAGTAAAAAAGTAGTAAGAAAACCTGGAAAGGAGGGTATTGGGAAATTCAAGGCGGAAGGAATAATTAACTATGAAAATGTCATTGAGAAGTCAAATGAAGACTAAGAATTAACCATTTAATTTGATGACATGAGAATTGTTGGTGACTTTTACAAGAAGTTTTGGTAGAGTGGTATAACAGCAAAAGCCTGAGGCTGGAGTAGGTTTAAGAGAAAATGGAGAAAACCAAAAATAGACCCTGGTATAGCGTGCCATAAAGGGAAGGATAGAGATAAAGCAGTAGGTGGAGGTGGAAATGTAGTCAAGAGGATTTTTTTAAGATGGGATAAACAATAGTATGCGGTATGTGGTGGCAGATGACAGGGGAAACTTGGCAATGCAGGAAGGAGTGGGAAGAATTTTCAGGACAAAGTCCTTTAGAAAACAAGAGAGGAAAGAGTGTGAGAGCATAGTGGAAGCTTGAATCAGAGAGGAGCAGAGAGATCTCTTTACTAATAGCCAGGAAAAGGCACCCCACAAGGAGATCTGATGGGAGCCTCTGAAAGTGACTTGTCATCTGTCTCTGCTTTTCTCAGAAAAGAAATAGGAAGTGAAGTAGGAAGCCAGATCCTTTGCTAAAAGTGAAGGGAGTGTACAGAAATAGCCTTCTAAAACAGTAATGAGAGTTGATGACTTAAGAAGTACTATGATTGCCAATAGCCCAATTAAAACCTAGTCAAGATTATTATGATTTTAAAATGAGCATGATTCTGATTATTTTTCTCTACCATGT